ACAACCCTGAGTTGTGGTGAAATGAAATGTTCATATGTGGAACATGGAGTAACCACTGGAACAGAATTCCTTGATTTCCAGTCATGTTGCTGGTTAATGGATGTAACACCATCAGTTTCTGTCCTCACAGTTTTTCAGCTGGATATTGGATATTGTGGTTCTGTGGACATCAGATTCACTCTGGTGGGTTTAGCACCAAAAGACACCCTTCAGAAATGGCTCTGGTCTATGACTGGCATTAATAAAAGACCAGGGAGCCGTAGAGTTTTTGGAAAAAGAACATGCTGAGGAAGACAGTAGAAATGCTTTAAAAAGGAAATGAAGTTGACCATTTCTACAGAGGGCAGTGGTCAATGCAAGAATGATGTCACGCAGTGAGAATGGGGGCAAGGAAACAGAAAAATGCACTGATGTGATACCCCTGGTGTCATCGTAAGATTGCAAAGGATGTTTGAGTCTTCTTTTTCTCAGATGTCATGTATCGGGATATATGATAGCACTGGCATCAAGCTAGTGGCTCCTAACATTTCTAACAAGCTTGCCCAGCACTTATGTGTGTATCTCAGACTTCAGTAAAAGAAAAGAAGTCCAGGCCCCATGTAGGTCACCAACCCACCACTGGATGTACGTTCATTCACTGGTACTTAGCAGACCACAGGCGATGAGCTTCAAGTCGAGTTGCCTATCAATAGAATCTTCAGGATTTAAAAGCCTTTGCAAGGCTGTATTTCTAAGTTAGCAAATGGCATGAACTTATTTTTTTAAATTTTTTTGGGGGTGGGGGGAGGGAGGTAATTATGTTGGTTGGTTTACTAATGGAAGTACTGGGGACTGAACTGAGCGTCTTGTGCATGCTAAGCATGCGCTCTGCCACTGAGCTATACCCTCCCCCACAGCATGTACTTCTAAGAGCGTTTTGTTAGTGGTTCTGTCGGAGATATTATTTGGATGTTCAAATTAGGGGCAAAAGAATAACTGATGAACTAAGAGGTTAAAGTTTAGTGAAAAAGGCTAACAAGCGAAGTGCAAAGGGGCTAGATGGGGCTTTGCTGAATAAGGATGAATAAGGTAGAAGGAGAGTCTGCACATAGGAAAAATCTTTATGGCCTGTAGGAATAACAGGAAGTGACATGTGCTGTCATTTTAATCTGAAAGAACTACAACTTGATTTTTGTTTTCACTCAGGATTGAGCATTCAGATTTTTGTTAACAAAATTCACAAGAATCCTTCGTAAATGCTTTTCAAAAATCCTCCTCAGGCACATCCGTTTAGGGAAGCGGCTTGTAGGCAATGTTTTGATTGCAAGGTTTAATTAGAGAGGATTCCTGTGATTTGAAAACCAGACACTCCTTTCTGCACCTCACAGGGCTTCATTAAAGCTGAACAGGATGAAACCTTAAACCCCACGGCAAAGGCACTCTGTGATTGTTTTCTTCTGTCATCACACTTCTCATTTAATTACTGTGCTAACAAGGAAAAGTTCCAATATGCTCACTCAGGGCAGAAATAGGGAGTCACCATGTATTGTTTGCAGGAGAAGGATCACTTGCCTCCACGATACCAGAGGAGCAGGGGAAAGTTTTATGACGCTAATGAGGCAGTGGTAATGTGACGATGAACCTCATAAACTTCACAGTCAAACCTGCATTTTTCAGGCAGTTTGGGCTTATATGGAATGTTCATAACCTTGGGTTAGTTACTTAACAAATTAACTTCTGCAATCTTATTTCCAAAACGAGAATAATAATACCTACTTCATAAGCTAACTGGGAGATTAAATCAGACAAATGGATAGATTAATGAATATGAAGTGTTATTAATAAGGATATGAAACATTATTTATGTGCCAAGCCCATTATGGGTGTTTCTCTATATAACCTCATGTATTTTTCACTACAACCCTATCATGTGATTTCCCATTTACGGGTATCCCCAAATTATCAGTACGAACTCTGAAGCTGGGTCGTTAAGTAACTTGCCCAAGGTTACAGAGCTGGGAGGTGGCAGCACGAGCTTTCTGACCCTGACAGGCTGACTCGAGTCAGTGCTGTGCGCGGAGGCACTGTCCCGCATTGCTGGAAGTC